GGTCTCCTGCATGAAAGGCAAGAATTCTACCACTGAACCACCACTGCACCCACAGTCTAGTAGTAGGTGTTTAGGAAGTATTTCTTGACTGAATAAAAGATGTATGAGCATGTTAATCACAACTCTAATTGCAGAAAGTTGGAATCCCTCTTTATCTACCTTTCAGGAATGTTAGAAACATTAAACAACCAATACTTGAAAACGATTGTGTTCCAAAGCAGTTATTTATTAGCAGTAATAAGTATTGCAATGGAAGAGACTGTGGAGTATTGAATAATTAACTAAATTGAAGGGAAGTTGGCATATAACACCTCACCATTGTAGGCCAGATAGTTATAATATTATTTGAATACATAATGTATAATGTGGCAGAACCAGTGATTACACCGTATAGACAGTAACAAGCATCGCTAAAGTATTCTTTTCTCCTCTCAATCTTATAGGCAATATTGATAAACCAGGCACATCATTGCCTACCTGGGCAATAATTCTCCTTGCAGTATTCTGTTCACTGCTTTCGATCCTGATAATTGTTCTGATTATAATCTGCTGCTGCTGTGTCTCCAGGAGAGAGAAAAAAGGTAATATTTTTGTTCATATAGATTTGTATATATTTTTGGACTTTTGGTATGAGCACTTGAAGTTCATCAGCTCATCAGCTCTTTCAAAAGATAAATTAACTTCCCAAGCTCTTACAAGGAGATATGCAAAAAAAAAGGACTTTCTCAAGGAAGGAAGTCATTCCTTTGGGGTCTGATGTGAACTCGTTATACTTCCAGGAAACTGAGATGTTTACACTTTTAAGAAGGTGTTAACATGGTACCTTTCTCATCAAAGACACTGATTATTTTATTTTTATGCTATTTGTAAGCTTTTATGGCTATTGTAATCTGTGATATAGATATTATGGCTTTTCTGGAGTAAGACCCACCTATCTGAGCACACTAAAAGACTATTTCTTATTTTGTGGAATTCCAAATCTCTTTCTATAGATGAATACTGATGTAGTGGTAGAAGGAAAAATAGTCTTCTGTTAATAAAAATAATAAAATAAAATCAATAAAAATAATTCCAAATTTCTTCTGTATGAGATCTTCTGAGATATTCTGAGATATATGAAAGTGAGGGCCTTGTTTGGGGGTTGAGCTCAACACTGAGGTGGATTCGATGTACAGTTGGGTAGTTTGTGACTTCGGAAGCCAAAGAATCCTGTGTTACGTGGGCAGCTCAGGTCTTTCCGAGTGCTGAATGTATGTGCCTGTCT